GTATATACAAAAGAGATACCAAATCCTTTAAAATAAAACTTATTTAGTTAAATTCAGTGTTCAGCGCCGTTAATCCAAAACGAAACCCTAATAAACACCACAACGTGATCGAAATTTAGTTTACCCAATTTTCCTCTCGATTGTTGCCCAAACTTTTTAACTGAAGGCATTAATTATTCCGTAAAGTCACAATGACGACATTTTTATGAACTTTCATTATAAAAAGCAAAGACCGTTAAATAAAAGTGACTTATGTAACGTAAAATCGATCGAATACGAGTAACATTCGTGCACCGAGGGTTTCGAACCCCTAAATATATATACGAACCCCTAAATACATACGAACGAAGACAGAACTTCCTCGTTTTAAGAAGTCGGCTAAAAATTTCTACCGGGTACTTATTCTAGTTCGAAAGTTACTATACATATAAATTGAGATAGACCGACTGACAGAAGTAAATTAATTTTTTCCTGACTGATTTCAGTCACTGCGATCATTTTCACCGAAACCAGCAAATTGCACAGGATATAGTGCATAAGTGTATGCGCAAACACAAGTAGCAAAATTTCACCTAGAGGATTTTGTAAGGTACCATCGCTAATATACCATACTAGTACTGCCCGCGGCTCCGCCCGCGTTCAGATGACCAAAAACGAAATTCTTAGGTTTTACATACCCATTAGTATACTCTTACATTGCAGTTTTTGTTTTTTTTCTCAGAAATGAGATTTTTCCCGCAGTAAAAAGTAACCTATATGTTGACCCGGATAACCAGCTATCATTATATTCCATTATATACCACATTTCATCAAAATTCCTCCAGTGGTTTTTCTGTGAAGCGGTAACTCACAGACAGACAAAAATTCTAAAAGCTATAGAATCGGTCTCTGTATCGATAATAATGTTTATTTCAATAAGATTTTCCAAAAAATATTTAATGTACAGATTCGGCTTAGTTACAATTATATTATATGTATAGATAGATATACATATACTCGATTTCAATTGGTCACAATTAATAATTGAACCCTAAAAATCTAATTATCTAGATTGATTTTGAATATTACTTTAACTAAGATTTTATATGGTGGCCATTGCAATAAATGTAATGTGTCGATAAATCCAATTGGATTTGATCGACATGAGAACAATTTAACAAAAAAACTGTCTTTGCCAATGGATTGTTACATTTTATTTTGTGTCATAATTACTGTAATAAGATTGAGTTAGCGAAACAATCGTTGGGTAAACATAGATTTGTTTCAACTGTTTTATACGTGTGTAGCGCTCACACTACATTACTTACTAATTAAAGACTTATACTTTCTTGGATTTACGCGAATATTTGATATTTGACATTTTAAATGTGACATCTATACATATAATAAAATTGTAACTAAGCCGAATCTGTACATTAGATATTTTTTGAAAAATCTTATTAAAATAAACATTATTATCGATACAGAGGCCGAATCTATAGTTTTTAGAATTTTTGTCTGTCTGTCTGTTACCGCATCACAAATAAACCACTGGAGGGATTTTGATGAAATTTAATATGGTGATATCTGGTTATCTGGGTCAACATATTGAATACTTTTTACCGCGGGAAAATGTCTCACTTCTGAGAAAAAATACAAAAACTTAAACTGCAATGTACGAGTATAGTAATATGTAAAACCTAAGTATTTGGGTTTTGGTCATCTGAACGCGGGCGGAGCCACGGGCAAAGCTAGTTATTTTATAAAAGCAATTGTCTCGAAAGCATCCTATCCATTTGTATTTTATATAACGATTAATTTATATAACGGATCGATGAAATTGAATAAAGGTATCAAACTCTTGCGACACCAATTGGATTTTGTTACCGGCCCGTAGCTCACTTGTCAAAAACGAATTTATAACTATTAAAATATTATGCACATTTTCCACTTTTATTGCGGTCGTGGAACCAAATATTTCACAATTTACTATAAGGGATTCGTATTTAACATTTTTTATATAACTCTATACCGAATCGCCCTACATAAAATATTTATTTATGACACATTATTTGTATTGTATATTCATCATTTGTATATGTATTTTTGTTTGTAAATGTTGTAATAAAATCAATGATCTCATCGTATTCTATATAAGTAATTCAGGGGCCACTTATTATTAACTAGCAATACCCGCGGATTCACCCACGTTCAAACTACTAAAAAAAACCGACTGCATAAAAGCTAACTAAAAAGATGAAAACAAGTTCACGAAGGAATATAGTATTATGCATACTGTATACCATATTTACAAGTTAACTTGTTAACAATAGCTTTAATAAATAATAAGTGGCCAAATAAAGATCTTACATAATATAGTTTAAATAATTTCAATATGATAGTAATTTTACTAGCTTTATTAAAAGTAGAAACGTAAACGTTCATAATTATATATATATTATAATTGTTAATATAGCTGATTTATTAGAAAACTGTGTTAATTTCAATAATCTTCCTGAGATTTTCTCAGCAAGGACTTTAGAAGCTTATCTGAATAAGACACATAACAAAAAAATAAAAACCGTCTTCAAACAAAAGCATAACTTTGGCTAAGTAATTAAAGCCTACCTATTAAATACATACCTAATCAAATATTCTAATCGAAATCGGTGCCAGACCATACAAAGCAAAGCACACCGACTTCGAAAATATTTGATTAGGTATGTATAGTGAATGAATACTACCAATCAGTTATTTTTTTACTTGTTAGTGCTTTTGTTTGAAGTCGGTTTTTATTTTTTTGTTAAAAAGTTTTTATGTTTCCCTTTTTGTGTAGACAGTAGTAGCAAAGTAAGAATTCTAAAGTGTTAGGCTTGTCAAACCAAACAAAATAAGCCCAAACTTAAAGTATCTACTATTAGTCGTTGAAGAGTTCCACCTATCCACCTTCTGGCTTTACCATCAAATCAGATCAACAATACCAATCCACTGTACTATCAACGGAAATAGAAACACTTGCAAAGTTTCAAGTCAATATGACAATTAGAAGTAGGTTAAATTCATTATTAGCTATTTTTCCACCCTTAGGGGTGGTATTTTTTTTTGAAATTTAAATGGGACCAATCTGGAAGTATACCCTTTCAAACAAAACAAAAATTGTCCATATCGGTTTATAAATGACGAAGTTCTAAGGTAAAAAACATAAAAAAATACAGTCGAATTGAGAACCTGCTCCTTTTTGAAGTCGGTTGAAAAGTATTAGTAATAAATTTTAATTATTATTTTTTTAACTTTAATTGACCTCGTACCAAATTTTCATCATGAAACCTAGGAAGGTGGTTTAAGTTTAAAAATTTGTAGTGTACTTATAGACACATCCATATAGTTTTGCATGCGACATGCTGATGCATTCTTTGCAACTAGCAACTTCTCTCATAGTAATTAATTTGATTATGTTACTCTTATCGCTAACAATAATTAATAATTGTAGAAAAATCTTCTTAATAAATTATAAATAGTAGGTATAGTTTTATATTGAAATTATAATTTTAATTATAACAAATATTTATTTATTAGTAGCTTATATAGGTATATACATATAGGTAAGTACATATTATTAACATATTATTATTAATTATGTACACACACACATATTTATTAACTATTTCATATTTTATGATCTAAACATCAACACTATGTTAACTAATAAATAGCTAAGAATGAAGCCGTGAAGCATAATTGAAAGTCAAACTAACTTGTTAGTGAAGTTCGATTACAATTATGTGAACAGCTTCATTCGACGCGACTTATGATTACCCTCCCAATGTATTATATTATTATCCCCTTTTTGATTCGTGGGAAAACCTCTTTACGGGTGCCCGAGCGCGGAGGACGCACGGGGTATGTGGGACTTCCTTAGCGAGAAGCGCGATAGACTACCAACTAAAACCACCACGGTGATCCCTATCGCAAGAGACAGGGCTACGGGATCGCTTGCGCATTCGACCACGACAATATATTATTACCCTATATCCTGTTTAGGAAATGAAATAGTTTGCTTTAAATTAAATGAGGCAAGACGTTCATCCCCAGTGCCAACACAGATCGTTGGCGGTTGGGAAAGGTGACAGTGCCAATATAAAAAAAACTATTTATCTTTAAACATCCGTGCAAGGCTGAAGCGTGGAAATGATACTACACTACATTATTAACTAAAAACTTTGACCACGGCTGGTGCAACCCAGTCCAAACCACAGAACACTTTTACTCAGGAGGTCGAAACTGCGTCGGGAATAAGGTAAATAGCCACTAACGAATCCACGCGTAGTGTAATTATTATATAACTAGGAGCTCACACTCGCTTCTTTCAGGTTCGGCTCTAGCAAAGCAAAAACAAACCTATCCCACGGGAACCGTGCAATTTTCCGGGATAAAAAGTAGAATATATGTTATTCCAAACTATAATCTATCTCTGTGTCAAACATCCAGATACTTTAAGCTGTCCTGGCGTAAAGAGTAACAAACATCCATACATACTCACAAACATTCACATTTATAATAAAATGGATTATGGAACACGAAAATTTAAAAAGTTACATTCTATTTGTGTACTGAATTCCATCAAAATCTGTAAAGCCGTTTCAGAATGAAGGAGTAACAAAAAGTAATAGACACACAGTTTGATTAGTCTGATTTTGTGAAAGTATACCATTCTACATTCACAACACTTTTAAATCCTAGCTTTTTATACAAATTATAAGCAACTTTATTGATGATGTTCTCCCGACCGATTGCGGCCACGGCGGCCAATCTCATTGAGACTAGCCAACTGCGCAGGAGATATTATAGTGCACAAGTGTACGCGCAGACACAAGTGCACTCTCTATTCCTGTCACTCTCATATTCCGGTGGGACGACTGCTCGACACGACCAGTGAGAGTTAAGGCGCAGGACCGACGGCTTTACGTGCTCTCCGAGGCACGGGGGTGAAACACCGCCAACTTCCCAACTCCGGGCTGTTACTGAGGCTTACTTATACAGAAAGACTCAATAACTAAACTTGGCCCGACCCGGGACTCGAACCCAGGACCTCCGGGTGTGCAGCCGTACATGCTAGCCACTACACCACCGAGGCAGTTTAAGTTTAGTTCAACTTTATTACCGTCCACACAAAAAGCAAATACATACTTATTTTTCTCTAATAACCAATTTGATATAAGTTTCAGAACTAATTCGCCGTAACCTTTTCTTCTATGGTCTTCTAAAGTGTACAGATGGCCCAGTGCTCCGATTTCTTTTATAAAAACCCATGCTACTAGTTCGCCGTTCACAAAAAGTCCATAACCTAATTTAGCTTTAATTAGTAGATCGAAGTACCACTCAGAGCCAGGATAGCCACTTAGCATTGATTAACTTAGTATGTTCAAGTGATAACGCTTCAAACAAAGATGCTGGAGGTAAACTGTAATGAGACAGTGATCGAAAAATAATTTTGTTTACAAAAGTCAATTTACAATTTGAAAATCGATTTTCAGTCTATTACAGACATTTGATATTTCCGGTATTGTTGTCCGCAATAATATGAGTCATGATCCATTATATATGTATTATTTGATACTGAATTTATTCTTGTTCATATAGATTATACACAGTTACTATCATGTAAGTATATACATATATATATAGATATATATATATATATAGATATATATATATATATATATATATATATATATATATGTATATATATATATATAGTACACTATATATTAGTATTTCACTTTTATGTCATTTGGTTAAGTAGTTAAGGAAATGTACATATGTAGAAAACTGAAAATAAATTGCTACATTTGCAAAAAGCTATCGAGAAACACTCAAATTTTTCAATTTTATCTCTACAATACAATTTTTTTAAATTATATTCTTCAACGGTTGTAGAATGATTTCTTGTCTAAACTCTCCTAAACTCCCCTAAATAAATATAAATTTACCTGACATTAAAAAGAGGCGATTTTGTATCTAACAAAAAGGTTTCTATCATTTTTATATGATCTATCTTCAAATTCTTCTCATTAATATTTTTTTTTACACAAGCCATTATATGTGCTGGCGAGAACGGTACTTCTATATTTTTGGTCCAATCAATGAATTTTGTTTGTCTTAAAGCTTCACAGAGTACTGTGGTGTCGTCCTTTGGGCTTTCAATTATAACTTCGTAATATGTACTCTATAATAATGATGATTCTATGAGTTAAATAACGGAATATGTGTGTCCTTCTACGCGGGGATCATCGTTTTCGATCCGCTATTGCAAAGGTTTTTGTTTTTTATTGCATTCTAGCAAGTCGACCTCACTTTGCTCAAGACCTAATTGTCTTGAATTGTAAATATTTTGGATAAATATTTTGAATTAAAAATAAACTTATGGAATGAATTTCGAAATATGCTAAGCACGTATTTATTTAATTGTATTGAAGAGCATTAATACCAAGTTTCAAGTAATTCTGATTATAAATATATTTTTGTTTGTATTGTAACGTGTTTTCCTGTGCGAAAGAGATAATGTCCCCTAGTAAAAAGTAACCTATGTCACTCTTCAGCCATCCAACTATCTTCACACAAAAAATCACGCCAATTCGTTAATCCGTTTTGACGTGAAAGAAGGACAAACAAACAAACACACTTTCACATTTATAATATTAGTATGGAGTATGGATTTAACAACAAACAAGACATTAATGGGGGGACAAAATCTGTATCATGTCTCGGACATCAACTTTGATACAGAATTTTTATATGGCGTACAGAAAAACATATTTCAGAGAACATATACATAAAGATATATTTTTAGTAAATATTGATAATAATTATTCTTGTTATTCAATTAATAAAATTAGTTGTTTAGCTAACAACAACATAGTTTTTCTCTTTAATAAAATTCTTACCTTAACATTAAGTGCAACTATTCCATTGTTAACATCTCCAAAGGGACAGAAAACTTTAAAGCCGTAATCAAGGTAAAGCTTATAGATGTATTCTTGAGTTTCTAAAGCACCTATTACAGTCAAACTCCTGGGCAAGTCACATTTGAAAGCTGATTTTATTTCCTCCCACTTTTCAATCGGAATCAGTTTCAAAGAATCAGCACACATTGTTAGAATATAAAGCAAATAATTGCGAATAACGAATCGTCATCGCTACGTGAAGTGAACCTTCCTAACTGTGCCGAGGTAAGACTGTAATACCCGTTCAGACATGAGTAGGTAATAATATTTATCTTTCTAGCACAAATTTGAAATAATTTAAATAAAATAAAAGAAATTTTAATTATTTATTTTTGTATAGTTTTACTTTAAACCAACGTCTGCAATACGCATTCTTTTAGAAGAGTTTTGTTATGTAATTAAGATAAAAAGTTAATTGACTCAAAATTTTATGAGCATGTAGCCATTGTCCCCAGGATCCTAGAAAATGTTCAAAATGCTTCTATCGCCAAATTGAAAAAAAAATGATAAAGAACGTTTGTGTGTTAAAGGCGTACAATTAATGATTTTATAGAAGATGGCACCGCCTTGGGAATGAAGTGATCCCCTCCTGCAATAGCAGGAAATATCAACTGTAAATTTGAACTATACAATTGAACGATTTTTTTAAATGTAAACTTCCACTTGAAGTTGGGGGTGATTTTCAGCCTCTGGAAATCATAAAACATACTTTTTTCGGAAATGGCTAAACATTTCAATTTCAATTTTTTATTATATGTATTTTGAAGATTATATTCCCTTAGTTTCATGAAAATCAAAAGATTATTCTAGAAGTTAAAAATAAAAAATAAAGAAAAAGTAAAAAACCGAGTTTTCTGCAAATATCTCGAAAACTTTGAAGTTATTTTAAAAAGTATTATTTATAAAAGTTGTAGATTTACTAGACCTACAACGTTTGTAGAAAATATTTTTCGATAGAATGTCACAGTAAGCCGGAAATTGAAAAAAACTATGTTTCATCGCTTTGCGTCCCCTCATTTTTCGGGGGTAGCTGGCCATTGGGAGCATTTTACAAATTTCTATTCCTTATATACCTGCTATCATTTTAAAATCATAAAACTTCAGGTTTTCAATATTTTGTACCCACACCGGATTCCGATTGGACTACAATATTAAACATCACGTTATCATTAATTATTTTCCGGGATGAAAAGTATCTCAGATATTGACCGGGAATATAAGGTACCACCTCGGTGGTGTAGTAGCTAGCATGTACGGCTGCGCACCCAGAGGTCCTGCGTTCGAGTACCGGGTCGGGCCAAGTTTAGTTATTGAGTCTTTCTGTATAGTTAGCCTCAGTAACAGCTCGGAGTTGGGAAGTTGGCGGTGTTTCACCCCCGTGCCTCGGAGGGCACGTAAAGCCGTCGGTCCTGCACCTTAACTGTCACTGGTCGTGTCGAGTGGTCGTCCCACCAGAGTATGAGAGTGACAGGAATAGAGAGTGCACGTGTGTCTGCGCGTACACTTGTGCACTATTATATCTCCTGCGCTGTTGGCTAGTCTCAATGAGATTGGCCGCCGTGGCCGGAATCGGTCAGGAGAACATCATCATCAAGGTACTACCATGTGAAATTTTATGTAAATCAGTCCATTAGATTCGGAGATTAGCCCATACAAACAGACAGACAGAGAAATAATAAAATTGAAAATATTTGGATTTCTTCTATTTCTCTTCTTACACCCCCCTGACCTCGACCTCTACAGTTTTATTATATGTATAGATTATTAGCTAGGATATACGAATTAATTAATTATTCCTTGCAACTATTTAGATAAATATAATATTATCAGAAAATTAGTGTTTTCAGCCAGTGAGTTTTAGCGATAACTGCAGTGTTAGATTCGTAAATTAGGTGAACTATCCGGAGTATTTATATTGTTAATAATTATTATTATACATGCTTTCATTAAAGAACCTAAAATTATTTACACATTTAAAATCGTTCATTAACGCAGATAAGAGCTGCGTGAGCTCTGTGCTAGTTTTGATTTGTATTGCTCATCAAACATCTCTAGTACTGTCAACCGTAAAGGATGTACATTTAACTTAGTATAAATTATCTACAAATCCAGCAAATAGTAGAATTTATTAGGACAGTTATATACAAAATGCAACGCTCACGCTGTATCAAATCGAATGTGATTTTTTTTATAATTTTATGTATTTTTGTGCTAACCCATCATCAATAATTGTAATTTAAATGAGTTAAATCGATTTTTTAGTATGTCTAATAATTATAATAAATAAATCTTAATTATTCATAATATAAATTGAATTTCATATAAAGTATCCTATATAAAATAACCTACAGAAGTTTCATTTCATGCGCGTGTACACATTGATACACGCACTCTTTAAATTTTTTTTATATGGAGAGAAACCCCGACTGTCACGTGATTATCAGTCTGCCTGGGTGTTTGCCTGCAACGTTGTAACTTTCAAACGAGTGGACCAAACTATATAATATATTCTTATATTGATGTTAGTTTATATTCATGGCTCTTTAGCATATTTAATGAATGTGTGATTATTTGTTAAAAAGATGGTAAGGTCTGTTCCAGATTCCTCTAAAGTTTTCATTAATATTCATGTATTATAACTATAATTAATAGTAAAAAACATTTTTAAAAACAAAGTTTTATTTAAATGGTCTACAAAGAAAAAAAATGTTTAAATTAAATTAACCCTATTTAAATTTATTAAATTACTCAATTCCCTCAGTACGTTTTAAATATATAAAAAAGTATTGTGAGTCAAGGGATAGGCACATGAAAAAAAATCGATATATATTGTATCAATATTTATTAATAGGATCGATTTATGTATAGTAAAAATATCAATATCTCGATATTTTTACCCAAGGCGTGGCCAATTATTATGAGCAATGTCAAAATATTCGAAATTTGAAAAATTATATACATTTTTGGTAGTATTATTATTATTTTTACTATAAAAGAAATACAAAAGTGAAAGGTTATAAATTATAGACAATATTTGTTTATGTTAAATTATGCATAGCATGCTTAGATGTGAAAAAAATATATTGAACATGATACGAATTTGAAACCCTGAAATAAATATCGATCTTAAAAATATATGATGTACAGATATCGCTTTGTAACTCTAACCTATACGAATTTTTGAAGTTTTTAATGTGCCCAGAAATAGCCACATTTTTCATATAATTTTATAACATTTTATTCGCATTTATTGAGACATCTTTTTTAAGCCATTAGTGGTCGAATCTCCATAAATTCGAATACGCCGTAGGGTACCACGGAATATTTCTACATACCATTTTCTATCCAATCGTCTCAGGCGAGTTATTATGCCCACGTCACGTCGGCATGCTATGCCCTCATTTTTTCACACTTACAGTTAACTAAACCTGGTACTTATTATTAAATATATTAAATTAATAAAATATAACTAAAACTTAACGTGATGTTTATTAAAGTTGTTGATAAAATTTACAAAAATAGTACAAAATTACATTATGTTAACTTAAATTATTAATTTAAATCAAGAATACTTAATGGTATTAAATTAGTATTAAATATAATAGTAAAAAATTAGTGACTGACCCTAGCTCGGGTGCATGCCTAAGTAATGTTTCGTATGTATATCCATACTAATATCATTAATGTGAAAGTGTTTGTTTGTTTGTTTGTTTGTTTGTTTGTTTGTTTGTTTGTTTGTTTGTTTGTCCTTCTTTCACGTCGAAACAGATCGAACAGAGACAGACGGGTTGAGGTGATTTTTTGTGTGGAGATAATTGGAGGGCTGGAGAGTGACATAGGCTACTTTTTACCGCGGTAGTTTACCTAATTCCCACGGGAAAGCACGTAATAATACAACCCAAAAATAATATAAGATCAAAATTATTTGAAACTTGTTAATAATGCTCTTCAATACAATTAAATAAATACGTGTATTAGCATTTTTCGAAATTCACCCCATAAGTGGGTAAAATATGGGATTAAAGTTTGTATAAAACCTATCTTTTGGAGGTTTTTTTGTAGTTTTAGCGCGAGCGAAGCCGCGGGTTCTGCTACTATAATATCTGTTGGTAAATTGTAAGACTAACAGTAGCTTAAGTGTAACACCAGGTCACAGTTTATATGTGTACTGAATTTCATCAAAATCTAACAAGCCCTTTGAGCATGAAGGAGTAACACACAATCATAGACACACAGTTTGATTAGTCTAATTTTGTGAAAGTACACCACTCTACATTTACAACACTTTTAAATCCTAGCTTTTTATACAAATTATAAGCATTTTTATTACCGTCCACACAAAAAGCAAATACATACTTATTTTTCTCTAATAACCAATTTGATATAAGTTTCAGAACTAATTCGCCGTAACCTTTTCTTCTGTGATCTTCCAAAGTGTACAGATGGCCCAGTGCTCCCATTTCCTTTATAAATACCCATGCTGCCAGTTCTCCGTTTACAAAAAGTCCATAGCCTAATTTAGCTTTAATTAGTAGATCGATGTACCACTCAGAACCAGGATAGCGATGAGGCCACTTAGCATCGATTAACTTAGTGTATTCAAGTGATAACACTTCAAATGAAGATGCTGGAGGTAAACTGTAATGAGATAGTGATTGTAAAATCGATTTTCAGTTTATTACAGATATTTGTCATTTCCCGAGTTGTTGACCGCGATGAAAGGAGCCATGTTCCATACATACTATTTATATGTTTGATACTGAATTTATTTTACTTCACGTAGACAGTTAATTTTGTTTAAGTATGTACATATAGACATAACAACTTTTATTGGTATATCACTTTTACATTTTATATCTCAATAATGCTTAGATACACTACTTAAAACATAAAATATAAAATTTCATTAAATTACAAGTATGTACTTGATACAAAAAAAAAATGTTTTTACAAGTATGCCATTTGGTTAAGTTTTTAAGAAGATATACATATGTAGTAAATTTATAAATGATAAATTGCTACATTTGCAAAAAGCTATATAGAAACGATTTTTTAGTCATTCAATACAATTTTTAAAATTATATTCCTCAACGGTTGTAAAATGATTTCTTGTCCAAGGTCCCCTAAATACACAATTAATATTTAAGTATAAATTTACCTGACATCAAAAGGAGACGATTTTGTATCTAACAAAAAAGTTTCTGTCATTGTTATATGATCTATCTTCAAATTCTTCTCATTGATAATTTTTTTTACACAAGCTATTATATGTTGCGGTGCGAACGGTACTTCTATATTTTTGGTCCAATCAATGAGTTTTGTTTGTCTTAAAGCTTCACAGAGTACTGTGGTGTCGTCCTTTGGGCTTTGAATTATAACTTCATAATATGTACTCTGTAAATAATGTTTATATTCATAATAATATGTATGTATTTAAAGTCATATATGTATAATGTATCAACTATCTGGTATTTGTAACACAAGCCTCGTAGCTTACCGTGTTAATATCCTGACATATTTATTTTAATTTAAAATTTAATTTAATATTAAAACTCATAATTATCACACACGTAAAAAAATGTAGATATCTTTTCAGGATAGATAGATAGATGAAATTTATTAAGAGTTTTAAAACAAATAACACATTTGCGGGAGTCATCATCTTTTAAATCATTTTTTTGACATAAATATTAATATAGAATTTTTTGTTAACAGAAGAACATAATAAACATATTTCAGAGTCAATATACATAAAGATATATTTTTAATTAACATATCCTTAATATTCATTTAATAATACTAGTTATTTAGCTAATAAAAAAATTGTCTTCAATAAAATTCTTACCTTAACATTAAGCGCAACTATTCCATTGTTAACATCTCCAAAGGGACAGAAAACTTTAAAACCGTAATCAAGGCCAAACTTATTGATGTATTCTTGAGTTTCTAAAACACTTATTACAGACAAACTCCTGGGCAAGTCACATTTGAAAGCTGATTTTATTTCCTCCCATTTTTCAATCGGAATCAGTTTTAAAGGGTCAGCACACATTGTCAGACTCAGTATAAAGCAAGTATATTGTGAATAACGAATGGTCGTCACTACGCGAAGTGACCTTCCTAACTGAGCCGAGATAAGACTGTGTAATACCAGTTAGTCATAAATCATAATATTTTTTTTCCTAGCACAAAATTGAAACAACTTATATATCTAAATAAAGGATATTTTCATTATTTATTTTAATATAGTTGAAGTTTAATACAACGTCTAAAATATGCACTATTTTAGAAAATTCTGATAAACAGTTAAATTAATTCAATATTTTATAAACACATAACCATTGATCATATTCAACTTTTTTGAAGTTAAGTTTATCAAATAGATTTTTAGGTTTCAAGTTGTTTTCCAATGTGTAAGCCAAGATATATTTTCCTTTCTTCAACTGGTTATTTACAACATATCTTGTAATATATTCGGCATATCCTTTTCTTCTATGCTCCTCTAAGCAGTACAGATGTGTCAATGCACCGTCATCATCTATTGCTACCCAGGCAAGTGGATTATTATCGTTGGAATACAAAACGAATAACAAGTGATTTCTGGCCAGTGCTTCGAAAAATTTGTATGTATTTTTACCGTGATAAGTCCAAGTTCTGTCTACGATATTTAAATCCTTATGCTTACATATATCTATATAAGTATCATGTGGAATACTGAAAAACAATAAGCGTAGGATTGAAATGGTTAAAATTATAATTATAGACTTCGCAAAGCTGATTCATTCATATTAATTACAATTTACTATATCACCTATATTTATATGGTCTATTTTTAGAGAGTAAGTGTAGGTAAATATTTTTAAAATAAGAAGAAGAAACGAATGGTGGCTCAATTGTAACATGTTCCTCTTAAAACTGTTAAAATATTATTTTATAATGATATATTAATATTGCATAAATTCATAGTATTAGATAAGCTTGTAATATTTATTACTGTCTATTATATTTCATTTCAATAATTTAAAATTGTAAGTCTTTATTAAGAGCTGTCAACACTGGATTGGTTGCTGATATTATAATCGATGAGCGATGAAATAGCTCATCGATTATAATATTTTATACCGACGTTCTTGACTAATTGATATAATCAAAATCAAATGTTTTACCAAAAATTAATCTACTGTAACTTTACCATTAATACAAATACAATAGCAATGTTTTTTGAATGATTTAGAAAAAGTATCAATTGTAGTAAGTATAAAAATTTTATTAAATAAACCTACAACAAAAAATATTAGATTTTGGGAGAAACCCACGCTCATATGCCATTGCTTTGATGTGATACGATTAAAAATCACATTAATGATAATTGGAAGTAAATGAATGGGTAAATCCAACCAACCATATAATAAATAATCAAGTTGCTTGGAACTATAGGGTAAAATGAAATATCACCAGGAAATTGGTTTATGAGTGATAAATGAACGATAATGATGAAATGAGTGAATTGGAGCGATAAATCTATAGGTACATACCTATAATAAAATTGTAAGTAAGCCGAATCTGTACATTAATTTTTTTTAGAAAATCTTATTGAAATAAACATTATTGTCGATACAGAGGCCAAATCTATAGTTTTTAGAATTTTTGTCTGTCTGCCTGTTACCGCATCACAGATAAATCACTGGAGGGATTTTGATGAAATTTAATATGGTGATAACTGGTTATCTGGGTCAACATATAGGATAATTTTTACCGCGGGAAATGTCTCATTTCTGAGAAAAAAATACAAAAACTGCAATGTAAGAGTATACTAATATGTAAAACCTAAGAATTTGATTTTTGGTCATCTGAACGCGGGCGGAGCCGCGGGCAATGCTAGTGAAGTATAAATTTCGTAAATTAGGTAAATAAAGGTAAAACGTAATTCAGAGTATTTATATTTTAATATTGTTAATAATATATAATTATTGTAAATGCTCATACTATTTATTATAAATGCTCATATTATTAAAAAAAAGTCAAAACCATTTACACATTTTGAATCGGTCATTATCAGAGATAAGCGCCGCGTGAGCTTGGTGCATATACATATGTAGGTCATACATATATTTAGGTGTGGCACTTCACAGAGCGCGATCTATCAGCGGTTAACAGACCAGTAAAATATTAAGGTGAAATTGGACCCAGTTATGCAAAAAACAGCCATGTGCGTAAAAGTACCAACAGAGTTATAAGCATTTTATAATAAAAAATAAAATAATTATAAAAAATCAACAATACTTATACAAATTGTTGTTCAATTTTAAAATAACCAGAAAAACAAAACGTAACCCAAGTGCAACTATCGACAGAAAAATGTTTACAACTCTGTTGGTACTTTTACGCACATGGCTGTTTTTTGCATAACTGGGTCCAATTGGCCTTTAAAATAATATAAAAAATAAAAAATGTGTTTATTATTTTCAGTGGTTTTCATACTTTTGTGATATATACATTGATGACGAATGATAAAGAAAATTATAACATTTGCGCACACCATCCTAAATATATCTATTAGAGAGACAAATACCTTATAGTGTGTCTACCTTTTATATACTAAGTGTTCTGAATTTCTATCCAATAAATGCTTAAAAGCTATCTCTCCCTTGACTTCCAAACCAAGACGAATGGCAAGTCGCCTAAAGCATTCTTCAACTTCAGGACTCGCAGATGCTACATTAACGTTTTTATTCCAATCAATCACTTTAGTAGTAGCTAGAGCTTCTTCTATTTTATTGACGCCATTTAATGGATGAACTCTTAATTTATAATATTCATCCTGAAATATTTATTTTTTATAGTTATCCAAAAAACAGCCATTTGCGTAAAAGTACCAACAGAGTTATAAGCATTTTATTACAAAAAATAAAATGATTATAAAAAATAAACAATACTCATATAAATATTGTTCAATTTTAAAATAACCAGAAAAACTCAACATAACCCAAGTGCAACTATCGACAGAAAAATGCTTATTACTCTGTTGGTACTTTTACGCACATGGCTGTTTTATGCATAACTGGTTCCAATTAATATATAAGTTGCTTATTAAATCTCAAATATATCCCAATTAGAATATGAAACCCTAAAAATCAGAACGTTTCATTTGACCTTTTCTCAATTATACTGCTATTTTTTCTAAATTAAACAACATATACGAGTATATAGGTACGTTACAGCTAGCTTAGTGGTAGGGTTAGTAAAGTAAACATACATTACCACTTGTAGCAATCATTCCATTATGTATATCTCCATCTGGACAGTAAACTTTAAAATTAAATGTCTCCGCTAAATCAGGATAGGAGATTTTAGTGTCTAAAATACAAAACGCAACAGCATTCTTTGGCCAATCCTGTTTATATAAATCGCGGAGCTCTGGCCATTCGCTTTTATCGATTTCTATCAACGAGTCCATATTATAGAAATTACTACAAAAAATTACTATACGTAATATATATTGTTAGATTCTGTGAATATAATTAATACATGTTATATATTATCTACTAGCGAATTATCTCTAGAAAAAGAAAAACAAATCTATCCTTCGGGAACCGTATATTTTTCCGGGATAAAAAGTAGCCTATGTGTTATTCCAGATTATAATCTATCTCTGTGCCAATTTTCATCAAGATCCGTCCAGCCGCTTTGTCGTGAAAGAGTAACAAACATCCATACATACTCACAAACTTTCATATTTATAATATTAATCTTGTATATAAAATTTCCATGTCACAATGTTTGTTACCGTACTCCTCCGAAACGGCTTTACCGATTTTTACCAAATTTTATATGCGTATTCAGTAGGTCTGAGAATCGGCTACTATCTATTTTTTATACCCATAAGTGATAGTATAAGTGGTCCTCCCAGACCCCACCCCAGGGACGAACCCGAGCGTAGCGAGGGTGAGTCGCTAGTATCAATATAATACTTTCTTAGATTTACGCGAATATTTGACATTTTAATTAAAACTATCTTTACGGATTTTTTCGCGGATTTATTTGGTATATAATTATAATAATAACAGAAAAAATTAAATAAACAATATTCCGTATTCAATAATAAAACTAATTAAAATTATAAAAATGTTTAAAGTTATAAAATATTGTAATATACTTGGTGCAATTTTTCATTTTCTTAATTGTGGGTAGGCGGTCTGTAACAACTATACCTTCGAGACGTCTAACACCTCAGTCTCTCCCATGACCATGATTGCTGTAAAGCATTCGAAACGTCGGGAACCAAAAATTCAAATAAATCCGCCAAAAAATCCGAAAAGATAGTTTTATTTATAATATAAATATATAAATACGGATATTTACGGCATTGTTACACCGTACACAATATTGTTAGATAATGCTAGATTCAGTGTCGTAAAAGTGTTCATACTATTTTTGTCCTTTTGTCTGGCAGCGCTTTATATCGCCTATCCCTATTAACATTGTCGGATGTGAAATTCGGCAACTTTACAGGAGAGCGTGTCAAAGTTTGAATTGTGGATATTTTTTTAAATGTAGAAGTTAGGTTAACAAAAATTACTTGAATTGTAATACACGTTTATGATCTTAATTACATGGTAATAAAGTATTGATTTTGTTTTTCTAAATATGTTAAAAGTCAGAAATGACTTTTTTAACCGTACCAAATCAATTTTAATTTGTCGAATCTGGCATATGTGACAATGTTACATGTATGAACTTCTTGGCTATTTGTTGGAAGTGCCACATACGACAATGTTACGTGAAAAAACTTATTTGTTATATGTTGGAAGTGCCATATATATCATTGTTAACAGTAAACCCTAGACCAAATTCTGATGTATCTAAAGCAAAATTAAAAATATAACATATTTAAAGATATCTTTGTAATTAGATATTTATTAAAAAAATGAACTCCATTCAAAACAAAACTCTAGGACTATAAAAAATAAAATGGCTTTATTTACACAACCTCATAAGCAATGAAAAGCTTATAAATTAGAATACAGAAAAAACCTCCAGGAGTAAGAAATAAAGTCCGTAAGGATAAAAATAAAAACTTACTCAGCCTAACAAAAATCTTATAAAATAACAGACTCCACAAAAAAAAAGCTTGACCAACATAGCATTCATTACACATAAAAAATCTTATAAGTTTGTAATAATATGAATGACTCTAGGAGGATAAAAATAAAAGTGATCAGAGTTATAATATAATTATCTTACATTCAGTAAAAAAGCTTTTATAATGACTTAATATAGGTACTCTACCTAGATTAAATAATCTCAACAAAAGTATGAATTTTCGTAACTATTCTAAAAATGCCATTTTATCATCACAGCTTAGGTTTTATTATCGTAACACAGAAACAAAATCATCAGTCTTAAAAGAGAAACATTACTAATTAATCATCCTCATCAGAGTCTTCAAGTGGCTCTTGGGCACTTTCTTTTTTTATCAAGGTTGTAATATTTCTCCGAAATTATTCCACTTTGACAGGGGTTAATTAAATCCTTATATTTATCACGTTTGATAGAAAGATCCCCATTATAAGCCTGCTGGATTTATAAATTCATAAAAATCAAAACCAGATCACAATACTATTACAGTTTTCGGTTCATCATCAAAATTATACTTATATTCAATACCATTATAGTGCTGTGCATGTACCGTCACCGGATTTTCTCATTATCACTGTTTTTCGATCAATTTTTATTTGACAACAGCGGTTGATGATAAGAATATATCAGAGGTAGTGATTTCTTTTTCTCTATAGAGATTACTTTCAGCTTTAGCCCAGCGAACAAGACAGTACCATTCATCTGGAACATAGATTAACCTGCGATCACTAGCGCGCTCAATAGTTGAATGCACACTGTCACTCTCGTTTTGGATGTAACTCTTCTCCGAAATTCCGTTCCAAGTATATACATTGAGATGCTAGCAAGTAGACTTAGCTCTGCAGACATATTACTGAGGTAGATACAGCTCGCATAGTATATTTTAGTTATTTTCATAGTATTATGTTCTATGGTATCTTACTATAGCGAAATGCAACTGCTATTAATACGATTTTTGTCCAGCAGAAAAGAGGTATTCGTGAAATTTATAGTCTAGGCCCTGTCATTAAGAGATAAGTTTAAAGAAATAAAAATATTGACTGTTGCTTCTCAGTACGTGTACGAAAATGTTTTAAACATTTATGTTCGTAAAAATATACACGAATTTATCCAGATGTGTGACATGCATAACATTAATACTAGGAGCAAACACAAAACATGTTTTTATGGACAATGTATATGCTTCTACAACAGGATCCCAGAAAATATTCAAAAAGCTTCTATCGCCAAATTCAAAAAAAAATGTTGAAGAACGTTTGTGTGCTAAAGGCTATTATTATACATTAAGTGATTTTATAGAAGATTGCACGGCTCGGGAATGAAGTGATCACCTCCAGGCTACTAATATTAATCCCGCTGAGTTTCTTTCGTCAGTTCTTCTCAGGTCTGAGGCATCTTCTTTCCGAACTGGTAGTAGACTCATGACGTTCAGTAAAAAGTCATATAAGCTTTAAACTAATTGTTTATAACATTTAAACTGAGAATGAGGTACCACGGGACCAAATTAGCGGAATAATCAATACTTTAAGTGTAGTTTCGCAGTAATTATTGTTATTTATATTTTATTTCATTCATTTCCATTTCATTCAAATTCATTCAACGAATTATATTATGTCATTGAGACACATCAAAACATTAATAGCAAGACGCAACATCACATGACAATTTATGCATTTATTCATGCAATAAAATACAAAGTCACCTACAAGATCATTAATAAATATAATAAATGTAGATAACAGTAACTGTACGACTTTTAGATAATGCAATTTATTTTTATAAGATAAAGACTCATCGTCATCACAATTTAGCATTGTAAATTAACTAGTTATATATATATCAGAATAAAAAGGCATACTTACATTAAATTTTCTGTATAAATAGATAAAAAAAAATTAATATTTTTTTCGTATATGATACACATTAAGTGTTTCGAGTTTTAATAATATTTATTTTATGTCTCTCACTGACCTACTTGTGGCAAGAAACATTATACTTTCACAACTAGCTAATGTAGAGTCATGTTGACAGCTACCGCCATCTAGTTGTTGATAATAAAACTACGTTATAGATATGTCAGCGCCTTTATCGAAGTTTGAGAGTATGTGATAAAAAAGTCGTTTCATTCATTAATATTATAGCATCGAATGGATTTGCATAATTATAAAATATGATTTGTATTTTTAGATAGTTTAGATTTTTACCTTTGCTCAGGTTCGTTCTTTGGTACATTTTAACGATTAGTATAGATTTCTCAGAGTTGAGATATTTCCCTGCAGTAAAAAGTATCTTAAATGTTGACCCGGATAACCAGCTATCATCATACCAAATTTCATCCAAATCTGTCCAGTGGTTTTCTCTTGATGCGTTCTCAGACAGACAGACATAGGCAAAAATTGTAAAAACCATAGATTCGGCTTCTGTATTGATAATAATGACTATTTCAATAAAATTTCCATGAAAATATTTAATGTACAGATTCGACTCAGTTAGAATTTTGTTATATGTATAGATAACTTCTTCATTATTCACGCAATATTGGACAGGAAATAATCGAGTTCAGCTGGCACTCCCAAAAACCATAAACAAAAAAAATCAATAATGCAAAGTCTAAGTTAGAACAACAATTTGTTGGCACCGTATTATTTATAAGACACTATTTTATAATATTACTTAAGTAAAATTCAGAATAAAAACCTCTAATAAACTAATGCATTGATATGAAACAAAACGGGTTTGAACAGGAAAGGTCCCAAAACTAAAAATATATGGGTTAAGGCAGTTCCGTCTAACATTAGCTGTTAACTTTAACATAATATGTCGTTCAGGGATATGGCCTGTTAAATAAACGTATATGTGCTATGAAACTTTCTCAACACTCGAAAGTTAGTTTATGGATGAGTTCAAGCTAGCTGCCATAATATCTTGTGAGTTTTATTTTGTGATAGTTTAAAACTTTATACCTGTCCATTTTGGCGTCTTTCTGTATTAGTTTAGACTAAATATTGTGCAGCAAGATATACAAGGCATAGGTATATACGGGTGGTTATGTGGGACTCACTGGCAAAGTCATACTACCCACTAAAACCCAACAAAACCTTTCCCCGTCTTAATGGGGCGTCGCAGGATGGCTTATGCACTCAAGCACGATGCCCCGACGGCAGGTTTGCTAAAGTGGACCACAACAACCATGAGGTTGCTCCAACAGTCCACTTTGCTATCAGAGAAGTACCAACCATGCAACCCGCATGGTACACCGCCCACCAAGATGGGCTGCCTCCTAATGCGTTCTTGGCTTCGCGCCCGACTATGTATTTATATTGCCGCTATAACGACAAATAAAAAAAATACACGAAACATTTTTTAACATTCGTAATCGATCATTAAAGCAAATATACGAGTAGGTTTTCCCAGAGGGCTAAAGTATGGGGTCCTTCAAAAGAGGAGTAAATAGGTTCTTAAAGGGTCGGCAATGCGCATGTGATGCCCCTGCTGTTGCAGGCGTCCATAGGCTGCGGTAACCGCTTACCATCAGGCGGGCCGCATGCCTGATTGCCACCGACGTGGTATAAAAAAAAGGTACTACATTACTCTAGATATGTAAAGTCATATTAATAAAAAGTACATATACGATGGTATAGAACCCTTCGTGTGCGAATTCAACTTTGTATCTCTGTTGACCTTTAACTAACAGATTAAAATTGTCCCACAGATGGCATTATTACAAAAATCATTCTGAGTCGTATATTTAAACGATACCTTTACAGTTCCCTGCCTTCCAATTTTCTGTCTGTTTTAATCCTATAATAGAAATGCCAGGCACACGTCTATCTGGCATCAAAAGTGACCTATAGAGCCTCCGAACGCCCCTGAGATGTTAGGTCAATATTAATGGAAGCGTTATTTTAGACATCACCTTAGTAATTATATATCTAGATTTACAGTGATTGATCCTTTATATTTATTTTATATTTTCAACCGACTTCAAAAAGGAGGAGGTTCTCAATTCGACTGTATGTTTTTTTTTTATGTTTGTTACCTCAGAACTCCGTTATTTATTAACCGATTTAGACAATTTTTGTTTTGTTTGAAAGGGTATACTTCCAGATTGGTGCCATTTAAATTTCAAAAAAAATACCACCCCTAAGGGTGGAAAAACAACTAATGATGAATTTAACCTACTTCTAATTGTCATATTGACTTGAAACTTTGCAAGTATTTCTATTTCCGTTGATAGTACAGTGGTTCGGTGTTGTTGACCTGATCTGATGGCAAGGCCAGAAGGTGGATAGGTGGAACTCTTCAACGGCTAATAGTAGATACTTTGAGTTTGGGCTTATTTTGTTTGATTTGACAAGCCTAACACGTTAGAATCCTTACTATGCTACTACTGTCTACACTAAAAAGGGAAAAATAAAAACTTTTTAACAAAAAAATAAAAACCGACTTCAAACAAAAGCACTAAAAAGTAAAAAATAACTGATTGGTAGTTTTCATTTACTATACATACCTAATCAAATATTTTCGAAGTCGGTGTGCTTTGGCTAAGTAATTAAAGCCTACCTATTAAATACATACCTAATCAAATACTTTCGAAATCGGTGCCAGCCCATACAAAGCAAAGCACACCGACTTCGAAAATATTTGATTAGGTATGTATAGTAAATGAAAACTACCAATCAGTTATTTTTTACTTTTTAGTGCTTTTGTTTGAAGTCGGTTTTTATTTTTTTGTTAAAAAGTTTTTATGATCTAAACAAACGAAGAATATCGGTTTTATACCGCACCAGTGGTTACACTTCAAAATCACTTAGTTACATATTAAGGGGTAAATTTTAAGAGGTAGATTTAAGAGTAATAGTGTTGTTTAGGGGTAGATATTAAGGGGTAGATTTTTAGTGTATTGATGATGATTAAGTTGTATTCATATTACTGCCTCGGTGGTGTAGTGGCTAGCATGTACGGCTGCACACCCGGAGGTCCTGGGTTCGAGTCCCGGGTCGGGCCAAGTTTAGTTATTGAGTCTTCCTGTATAGTAAGTCTCAGTAAGAGCCCGGAGTTGGGAAGTTGGCGGTGTTTCACCCCCGTGCCTCGGAGAGCACGTAAAGCCGTCGGTCCTGCGCCTTAACTCTCACCGGTCGTGTCGAGTGGTCGTCCCACCGGAGTATGAGAGTGACAGGAATAGAGAGTGCACTTGTGTCTGCGCGTACACTTGAGCACTATAATATCTCCTGCGCAGTTGGCTAATCTCATTGAGATTGGCCGCCGTGGCCGGAATCGGCTAGGAGAACATCACATCATTCACATTATAAAAAGAATTATAAAAATCCGCCCACAATTAATTAGGTACTAACATCTTCCTTTTTGTAGTCAATAAATAAATTATAACCTTTATAATCTGATAAGCAGTTATATGTTTACGTAAATAGAAAAATAGCTAAATTGGATGATTTGGCGACGTCCAAAATTTTTTGATAGTTTGAACGCGGGTGAAGCCACGGTTAATGCTAGGTTATTAATAAATGAGATTTTTTTTTAATTTCATTTCTATATAGTCTAAATTGAATTCTTATAAATTTTTACCAGGAGGTATGTATGCTTAAGTGTTTCTTGAAAGTAATTTAATTGACCGTCCGAGGAAGTCATATGTATTTAATGAACTAAAGGAACCACGTCGCTACGTAAATAAAACTTAGCAAACGATATAAACGTAATTAATTCAATTTTATTAACATTTTTATTTAAAAAGGGGTAAATTAAATAAATTTTACGAACTCTACAGCTCTAACTTAACGGTCTATAAAATTTTAAAGTGTTATTGCCATTGTGTCTAACTAAAAAAAAACTCTAAAATAATCGGCAATAAAATAAAGTACAAATATTTCTCCGCGTAAATTGAATTAGTTTTTTTTTTATTATTCAACGTTTATCGAAACATTATATACTCGTACAAATAGTATCGATTATTAATACATAGTGTTAATTTTTGTAATCGAAACATATACGTTTACAATGAAAGAGGTTTTATGAGTTTTCTAAAATAGTCTACATTGCAATAGTTAAAAATAAATTAAAAATTAGGTATTACAATCTATGCGCGTTACTGGAACTTCGATAACGAAGTATCTGCTAATAGCTTTAAATCTTTCTTTCTGTACGTAAAATACTTATATCACAGATCACAGTACTGTACTAGCTTATTTTCATACATATCAAAATTTCACAGAAACCGGTGAATTTTTTTTACAGATTCTCGATTTTGCACAAACCAACATACAAAAGATACTCTTAGGTACTGTTTTAAAGTGCATAATAGTATTTGCGTTTGTTTGTATTTCTTTTTCACGTGCTTTTCTGTTATAACTTGCAAGGGTTAGTGGGTTAACGTCGAAATTTTAGCGTAATTCCATTATTTCTGGCTACGTGCCTGTAACGAAGTATAGATAAAGTTGTGATTTATGCTAATATTCTTAGGGTGTTGCCAAACTGTTACACTTACACTTGACCTAAATTTAAAATTTACTGTTAGATATGTTTCATTTACGTCGTTACATAATAATATGTTTATTTTAAAACTTTAATCTATTGTTTTGTTTGTTTTTATGAAACTACGGACATAATAATGTAGGTATTATATAAAAAATACTGTTACTTAAAGTACCAGTTTTGACAGATATAAAGAATTTTGACACTATATGGCCCGTAAGAAAAAAATGCCGCATCTACAAAATTATTGGTTCTGTACCAGCGATGTAATATGCAACACTAGTAATAATTAGCTTCCTTATGTTTTAAAGTTGTATTATACATAGGCATATTAAAATAAATATATAATAAAAATATTTAATATTTTCCAATTAAGATCATGTTTGCATTTATAGTTATACTAGCGACTCACTCTCGCTTCGCTCGGGTTCGTCCTTAGTTACATTTTAACTTTTACTATAGATATCTCAGAGATTTACCCGCAGTAAAAAGTATCCTATATGTTGACCCGGACCCGGGATACCAGACCACTGCTTCTAACAACGGAAATAAAAACACTTGCAAAGTGTCAAGTCAATATGACTATTAGAAGTAGGTTAAGTTCATCATTAACTATTTTTCCACCCTTAGGGGTGGTATTTTTTTAATTTAAATGGGACCAATCTAAAGTGAAGTGAAAGTATACACTTTCAAATAAAACAAATATTCTCCAAATCGGTTAGTAAATGACGGAGTTCTGAGGTAACTAACATAAAAAAATATAGCCCAATTTAGAACCTCCTCCTTTTTGAACATGTCGGTTGAAAATAAAAACCGTCTTTCAGACACTAAAAGTTTTCATTCACCATAGATATTTAATCTAATCAGACATATTCGAAGTCGGTGCCATTTGAAAATACTTTAAGAAATTGATTGAAATACAAAGAAAAACATACAGACAAACATAGAACCTCCTCCTTTTTGGAAGTCCGTTAAAAATTTATATAAAATATAAATATAGATAAAATATAAGAATAATTTGCATGTATTGCTTGGTAGCGACGATATAATAAATAAGCAAATTGTTATTTGGTTTAGTACTCATCTTGCTTATTAAGTTAAAGGTTACGAGAAGCCATAGACTTCCCCATGGGTCTACTTAATGCAACAAAAGAGAGTAGAGTATAGACAGCAAAAAACCTTTCGGGCTGTTCTAAAACATGATATTGACCTTAATATTTTATTATGATATATACACTCATCTTTAGGAACAAAGTATGTATGTATATACCATATATGTCATGGTATAATAGTATATATGGTAGCCCAGTGGTAACGAGCTCGCTTGGGAAACCGAGTGAAGCGTGTTCAAATCCTGGGTCTCGCACGTCTGATATTTTCATGTGCGAATCATTTCGAGCATGATTACCACTTATCTTACTCGCAACGGTAAAGGAAAACGTTGTGAGGAAACCTGCATGTCTGAGAGAACCTAGCAAGTTTTCAAAAGACATGTGAAGTCCGCCAACCCGCACTTGGCCAGCGTGGTGGACTATAACTTGATTCCCTTCGTATTGAAGGGAGGCCCGTGCCCAGCAGTAGGACGTTAAAAAGGGCTAAAAATATATATACACATACTATGTATATATACTTTATTATACGAAATAATATGAAAAGATAGTTTTATTTTAAATGATTTTTTTTAAGTTTTAATTTAAACCTATTAAGTGTTTTCTGTATAAAATCAGTACATTGCAAATAGTTATAGAGAACGCGCATAATTTAGTTAGACATTCACAAAGCTATGAAATTTATTATTGACCTTTACCTTCAGGAACTTATTTAGTGTGTAAGAAGCCTAAAGTCCTCTGAGGTTGATTCATTACAAGGAGACGTGGTCCAATTAGCCTGCAACGAGCTGTACTTACTCCGCGTAAACTGATCTTTGCATTTAAATACCATTTTACAAAATTGGCCTGTCTGAAAATAATTTGGTTGTCCTCGAATTACTATTGTTGAAATGAAATATAGTAGGTTCTTTATAGCTTCAATGGGTCAATCTGTTTGAAAATGTTAACAATATTTTCATACTTTTTGACTTGTACTAATTTTCATGTTGAAATAATTAAATGTAACATTATGTTTTTTTTTATTTGTTTGTCTGTTGGGAGTTTCTGGTATGACTGAACCCATTATGTAAATTATTTTACTCATAGAAATCTATATAAATATGAGTAACGTAGACTATATTTATTGATATTCGCGACCACAGCCACGGGTAAAAATGAGTGCTTTATAACATTTTAAAGTCGTTATCCTATGTCCTTTCCAAGGTCTCAAACTATCTTCTTATCAAATTTCATCTAAATCGGTTCAGTAGATCCAGAGATTACCCCCTACAACGTCACCAACAAAAGATTGTGAAACTACCTCTTTATAATATTAGTATAGATATATATTTTCAGCCACGGGTAAAAATTAGTGCTACATAACCTTTGTTAAGTTGTTATATAAACTTTTATCAAACGATTCAGCTTAGTTAATTTATCATAAATATTGAATATTAAACCGGAAGTGTAGACTGTAGGTGTTTATAGATTATGTGAAATTGACACCGCGTGTAAACGATGTGAATGCAGCGAGCATTAAACGGGGATATTCCGTATAATTCAATTTGATTTCGAATATCAGAACTTAAGTAGACTTTTAATATCCAAAACCATTTACGTTAAATCAACAAATAATATTATCGTGCACAACAGTTTATTTTTGAAATAATGTTATTGCTAATAGTTTGTTTATTTCTTTATTTTCCTTTTCATATACTGTATATATATATATATATATAGCACCTGAGTACCATTTACATAAGTACACTACCACCACCACACAACAAGAATCTTTCTACTAGGAAATTTGGAAGTATCGAAAAAAATTAACATTAGAAACCATATTTTTGACTTATTTAACACAAGTTATAATAAGTACAATACCTTCTTGATTCATAGCTTCTGGACATGCATACATATTTAATCGTTTTTTTTTGTAATTTTTATGTTCTATGTAATGTTCTATGTAATGCTTATTTTATTTATCATGATATATTTTATGTTAAAAGCTTATAATGATTAAATGACTGAATATGACGAAAGATTTCCTATAAATAAAGATCGGCTTCGAGAAAGCTAAATGATATTTTTGTGTTTCTTAGATTTTTTTGATTAGCTTCTCTTGTAATTAACTAGCTATGTAATTAAATTTTCAAATGTTATTTTAACTTACTTCTAGGAGTCATATATTCGCATCAATTTAAACTTATGGTAATATATTAGAATTTTATTCCAAATCAGTAGGCTTTTTAGATTTCGTTCGTTTACTTGTATTAAATTGATATAGTTCGTACTAATTTTCTGAACGATCTTAGATTTGTTATGAATATGAATATATAATATTGATTGATTCCCCATACAACGTTCCACCCCCCTTTTCACCCCCTTAAGGAATGATTTCCGGGGTAAAAACTATCCTATGTCCTTCCCAGGGTCTCAAACTATCTTCTTAACAAATTTCGACTAAATCGGTTTAGCGGATTAAGCGTTAAAAAGTAACAGACAGACAGACGGACAGACAGAGTTACTTTCGCATTTATATATTAGTATGTATGGCATAATATATTAACCTTTCTGGCACAGTCTACTGTAGCTTTTGATCTCTTGAGTGCCGACAAAGAAGCGGTGGCTTAGAGGTGGTGAAAAGTAAACCATATTAATTAGGTGCTAAAGTCGACT